TCGCTTTTGTACTGAGGAGAAAATGTTCAGATATTTATTCGCGTAATAAAAGTTTATTTTTTCGCAGAAATAAACCTTATCTCGCGAAAATAAACGTTTCTAAATATTTTTTTCTCAGCGTAAACGAATTAATTTCTGGCGGAATATGGACGATTCAGAAATTCCGGTCGAACCTCCCTTATAGAAATATCATACTAAGAATCATTGATAATTATTTATTATCCAGTATTTTTAATACTGAAAATAAGTAATTACCAATGATTCTTAGTATGATATTTCTATAAGGGCTATCATAATTTGGCCTGAATTATCGAGATTTTCTGATTAACAGAATTCTCCAGCACCATCAAACGGGATTTCTGAATCGTTTCTTTTGGTGAAAAATCGTTCCGTTCGACCAAACTTCCGTTTTTCCGTGCGTACTCAGACCGCCGGGCGGCAATTCGCTTCAGCGAAGTATGGCTCGTTCATTAATCGCAAGTATGCACACGATTTACGCGACGCGTCAACCAGAGACGCATTACTTACTCACGAGCAATTCTGCATGGCAATTAGCCTTGCCTCGTTTCCATGCAGATAAGTTTTTTACACGCGCATAATACGGAGCACAAACACATTTCATGAGAGAACGAACGGAGAGACGCAAGTTTTTTTCCTGTCGGAAAAATGCTCTTCTCTTCTTTCCCCGCGCGTCCCGGATGTTTTCTTGAGCGACTTTTGGCTGCCGGCCATTCATACCCGCAAAGTAATGACGCGTTGGTTTCTAATGTCAAAATAAGATTGTTTACGAATGACCAGAGATTAATATACAAAAACGCGTGGTGTTTGTCGCGGGCCCCGTCGGCCAGGACATTCGCCAATTATTCGCGGCGCGAAAGTCGAGAGCGGACTTCTGGGCGCTGGAAGGTGAAGTTTTCCTCTATGTAACGCCCGAAGTAACCGCTCGCGATATCACGCGCCTATCGCGTGGATACAATTATTCCGCCGTTCATTATGGCTCTGTAAATGTTAGTACATGTGGAAAGAGCGAATTTCCTCGCGAGCGCGCACGCGGCGTTTCAAGGATAGCGAGCGATTTCGATCGCGCGCTCGGCGCCGCGCCTTCCCCGGGAAATATTGCAAATCGGGAGTGATCGAGGATATCTCCGTCGTGTGGAAGGACTCGTACGTTTCCGCATTATTCGCTCATACCGTGAATCGTATCGCGAAACGCACTCCTCGTCTATTTATACTTACGCAAGCGTATACGTGCGCGACCGGCGGCAAAAATTGCCGCCGGCCTGCATTTTCGCACATATCGCGACTGCATCGCGCGGCACTGATAACGATAACGAGGTGAGCACGACGGACGTCGTTTTATCGTATGATGACACTACATCGTGATTACTGTATATGCGCATATCGCCATGAGTTTGTCACTCAGCTCATCCTTTATGTGCGCACACCGTGTGTGTCTCGGAAACGTGTGGCGCGCACTATCGTCCAGACATACGCCAGGAGTGACGTCGAAAAAAAAAGACTTTTCAATGTCGACTCAGCGACATACCGCGGAGGCTAAGGCAAAAGTATCACGCAGAAAAATCGTCCGACAAAAAGTTATCAGACGCATATCTCACGTTCATGTTCACGTTCACGTTCCGATCAATTTTTATATCTGCGATCATTAAATTTAATCGGATACTTCTGGTTACATGATGGCATTCTTTCATATATAAAAACCGATATATAAGATCCGATATTTCTTATCGGATGTTTTCTGATTGGATATCAAAACTGATCGGTATTTCATCGGATTTGTTCGGAAAGATTACCAATTTTTTATCGGATAATTTCTCACATTGCGCCAATGCTTAAATACTATATATATATATATATATACATATATATATATATATATATATATATATATATATAAAATAACGCTGGCGCCTAATTCTGAATGTTCTTATTGTTTTGGTTCTTTTAAGTACGAATATTTAAACTTTCAACTTAAAATACATGTATATAATGCAACATATACTAGCTAAAACTAACTGGCCTTGCCCGAGTTATCACAAAGTTTTAAGGGAATAAAATCAGATCTAGGTTTTATGTAACCTATATTTTTTGCAGGTTCTTAAACAGAATAACTATGCAAAATTTGGTTCAGATTAGTGGAAAATCAGTGAAAGGGTGTTTAGGAATGTATAGGAAATAATATATAATACAGACAGAAATACACAGACATAAATAGACATTCTGTTGTATACATATACAGGTATATTCTATATACGTATACAGGTATATTCTATATAGATATACATATAAAGGTATTCTATATTGAAAGTTTGTATATTCGTGTTTAAAGATTAAAACAATAAGAATGTCCAGAGTTATTAATGTTATTAGTGTATATATCCAGGCATTGTTTTTTTGTCTACTAATGCCACCAGTCAGCATCGCCTCGAACCGGTTCTGAGCCGTTTCTGAAATATTCAGGTTTTCATAGAAAGAGAAAAAAGAAAAACAGACAAATATTCGACTTTTAAAAGACATAACGCCGAAAATATGCGGAAATTTAATCTAATACGCACGACTTTCCCGCGAAATGTGTGTGTGTGTGTTTACACTCTTATCGTTTTAATTAATTATCGTGTTATGTAATTGCATTACTTCATAACGACTTAAACGAGCTCGATTACGTTCATATACGTTGCATATTACGGTTGCGAGATATCGCAATTTTTAATTGCCGGCGTCCGATAAATCTTGACGAGTGTCGATTCCTCCGTCGCTCCCCATCGACGAGAGAGGTATTCAAATTTTCTTCTACTTCTGCGTGCCTTCCCAAAATTATCTCTCCTCCCTTCCCCGATCGTTCACGAAAATAAGTGGACATTATTGGTGCTTCGACGCAATTGTGCTTCACATTTGATAAAAGTACACGTGACCGGGTTAAAGAAGCGACGGCGGATACATTTCTATTTCGGTAGTGCTGCCGGCAGAGCGCTGACACTGCCAAAAGAGAATTCGTGTCGGTCAAAGCAGACACTGCACTTCCTCGTGGGACACGTGACAGTGACTTCGGCGGCCGTCTCGGGGAGCTACAACGGCTTGGGGCTAAATCGCGTCGGTATCAGGATCGCGGCCTTTCAAACAACACCGTGAGTCTTCCGTTCGGCAACTGTAATTAAGGCGATAACCGTATCGCGACGATACGCACATTGATGTCTGATTTCACCAACGTTGATTAAGTCTTAATTCGAGTTTAAGCCGTCTTTAAATAAGGACTTAAATTCAGATTAAGGTTTAATCGATGTTTAAGAACATCAGTGGAACCGGACTTGAGAAAGGACAAAGTGTAATTCATGTCATTTTATAATCAAATATATATTTAATTTTATATTCAATATATCAATTATAGTCATTTTCGGCGCCAACTCTATCTTTTTGTTATTCTAACAAGAAAGTATAGCGGCATATTGAGAAAAAATACTTGGAAACTTATTTGTAGGATATCAAGTTTATTTCCGTAAAATAAAATTTATTTCTGTAAAATAAACTTTTGTCCCGCACATAAATAAATTTTCAAATATTTTTTTCTCAATGTAGTAATATACATGTAAAGTTAATTTTCACTAGCATTGTAGTAATATTTATTGCAAAAACAGGTTTTCTAACTGTAATCCTACGCAAGTCGAGGCGATATGCAAATTGAGCGAGAAAGACAGAAAAACAATGACTCATGCTTTGGAAATTATAACCACTTTCGGCACCAACTCTATTTTCTTATTTGTTGTTCTAATAAGAAAGTAGTGGCACATTAAAGAAAAAAAAAACACTTGAAAACTTATTTACAGGATACAAAGTTTATTTTTGGGAAATAAACTTTTGTTCCGCAAATAAGTTTTCAAAAATTTTGTTCTCAGTATAACAATATGCATATAAAGTTAATTCTCACTAACATTATAATAATACTTATTATAGAAGTAATTTCTCTAGCTATAATACTTTTACTGCGTGTTTACAGACACAAATACCAAACATTTTTCTCTTAGTCCTGTGAAGTTGTTATCTCAATTTGAATTTCGATAGATTGAGAAAGATGTTTGTCGAAAGTAAATTTGATAACGACATTGTATCGCGAGGACTTTGAAAGCGGCTATACGTTAGTTAAATGGCTATTGTTCGAATTCAAAAATGTTAATCAATCGAACTACATCACTTCGTTCGATGCTACTTTGTTCTGACCTGGTTCGAAACAATCACGCTGTACTTATGACGTGATAAAAAAGAAAAGAGATTTTTGACGGGTCACGCGGGAGCAATTACGGCGATTATGTTAAGTTGACTAACTGGATAAGTACGTCGTTGTGTCGGCATATTTATCGTATGATTATATGATTGAGTTACGAGAAAAATTCTCGATGTTCATCATAGCGACCCTTCCACTGCTGTCGCATTTGTTGCTTCCCTGAAGTCGATCTTTCAATTAGCATGGCAATCAGAAATCGGGGAATAAAATTGTAAATGTCGTTGATTGCGTTTAAATAATTCATTAATTTTATAATTATAATTAGACACGTCAATTTGTCAGAAAATTAAGAATATTTCTGACTAACGTTAGAAATTATGTACATACAGAAAGATATATGTTATGTATCATACATTGAAGTAAATGTCATTGCTTTCAAATATTTTATAAGTTTATACACTGAGAAAGAAATGTTTGGTATATTTATAATTATTATTATATAGAGAAATAATTACTATAAATTGTACTGAAGAGAACCATGTTTTTTTTATTAGATTTTACTATAATGTTGGTGATAATAACCTCACACACGCATATTATTACTACATCTTCATATTGGAACAATAAAAAATATAGTTGGGCCAAAAATAACTATAATTTTAGTTAAATCGTTTTTTCTCACAGAGTATATCCGCAAATATATTATAAGTTTATCGCAAGCAAATTTATTTAAAATACATTCTGAAATAAGCTTAACATTTTAGTCAAGAATATTAAGTCAAAAGAAAAATTTGGTTTGCTTACTACTTGCTTGCTTTAGAGTTGAAGCAGCTTTTTCTTCAGCAAAGTTTAACGATATTCTTACAAAAGAAATCAATTCTTCCTTCGATTATACAATAATTTTTCTTTAATAACTTTTGATAACTTTTAATAACTTTTCTAGAATCTGTAATAGATATATTTTAACACTAGTATCAAGGAAATATTTCTGATTGCGAATAGTCATACTACTTCAAAGGAGGAGAGAGTATAAACTGAGCAAGCGCTTTTCTTAGCAGCAGAATGATACTTTTCTGTGTGCACAATGCGAACATCGTTCTTCGATGTATAATTTGATCATCGCGTAATCGCTCAATGCACCGTATCAGCATTGATTGCCGCGTAACAATTAAAAGTGCTAACTTATTACAAAAACTCAAGTGGCTTAAATACACAATAAACACGGAGTCACGCGTTCCAAGAAAGATAAATGATCTATTAACTTCCAAAGAAATTATATTGTGTCATTGTTTTTTCTCCTCTCGTGATCACAAAACCCATTTTTCTTACGCGTCAGTTGCAGTTAGTTAATCGTAAAAATTACTCCAGTGGAATGAATCATTTCGCAAACATGCTGTACGAAGTCAACTGTTCGGTACGATCGTGGAAATTTGCCTTACACACGTACGCAACACAGATGCGTCACGACGTGTCGAAGGTACCGTCTGGTTGAAACATCTGCATTATGCATTAAATAGCTTTCGCGTGAACATGTATGTGTTTGCATATACATGTCACTTGTATTTTTATCTTTTGTTGTTGCATTCAACAACACTTACGGCGTAACTTGCAGTCTACGTTTACGTCTCTGTGTTTTGAGATATTTTTATTCTTTTCTTTTCTTTGTTTCTTTACAATTTTGTTTCCTCACACAGTCAAACAGTCCTCATGCAGTTAAATCTCTGGCACAACTACACTCAGAAAATGGTCTCTCAGAATCGTAGCGAAAATAATCTAGAGACGATAAATGAGCTAAAGCGGATGAATAATTAGCAAACACCGCGATATTACATATGTTTCGTATTTAATCAACATAGATAACAGAGACAGAATTGATATTTAAATTATTCATGAAAATTGACCAAGAAAGTCCTTCTATGTGGCATCTATCCAAATTATCATGTTTGCTATCAACGTTACAATGACATTTTTCCTCATATATTCACATTAAGTATGTTTGTGTATGTAATTGTATATGTTTTGCACAAACCCTATATAAACCCTATATAAACCCTATATATGTTTTATACAATTATATAAAAATAAATGTAATGTGATTCGTGAAGACAATTCGCCAAATAAATGATAGCGAACGTGTTAAAGAAATTATTAATTATTTGTAACGATAAATTCTATGTACTACAGACAATTTTTTAGCAGATATAAAAAACAGCGATAAATTCTAACTGCGACATTTTGAATTCTATCTGGACCAGCAAAACATTTTTTCGAATAAACGACATCCATGATTTATTAATTATTTCATGACGCAGCTGTGTGTGCGGATTCGACATTATTTTCATGTGTTGTGAACATTTGCGGCACGACTTGCAGTCTGCCTCGTCGTTTCCGCGACGAGAATTCTCACCTATTCCCTGGAATTTCCCGTTGGCTCTTACGTGACACTTTTGATTACCGAAACGGAACGTTTCCGTTTTACGGGGCGCGTTTCTCGCGATAATTATCTGTCTAACTACTAACGAACTGTTTGAAAGAGCACTCGAATTCGACGATTCCGTTGGAATGTAAGATCTATTGATTTGTGTGATCTATTGACACGAGAGGCAATAACAGACTCGCGCGTTGCAATCGCAAGAGCGCGTTATCTAATGCAGACTGTAGTGTTCTTTCTACATTTTTGTACGACATTTCAGCAGTCCGTTTCATTGTGAGCCGCATCGATAATGACGCGGCATAATCGCTGAAGATTGACAGGATTGTGAGTTGGCATTCACTACTGTTCGTTACATAAGTTGCAAATGGCGAATGTCATCAACGGCATTTGTAAATTTTACATCGACTCACTTATTTATCGGCACGAGTATCCTCAACGATCCAGTATCCGTATTATTGCGAGCATTACTATTATTGCAAGTTATACCGTAAATATTGTTGAAGGCAACAACGAGAGGTAAAAATACAAGCGAGATAACCCGCACAAATTGTTTCGCATAATTGCAGCTCAGGATATAATTAGCCATAATTACGAAATATGTTATTTGGCTATTTCTTAAGTAACGATCGGTTAGCTGATAATCGGTTGACGGTTATTTGCTCAGTACTTTACGTGGTATTTATAGTTGTGAGTTCGCAATGTGAATCGACAGTGCTCGTATTGTTCTGTTCCGCCGTAGTTCCCTCAAAACGCAATAATAAAACGTACTTGGCGCCTTGCAATCGTAACCTGAAGGATATCTCGATTAGGATCGTTTAAATCCATTAAAAGTAAGTGGCGCAGGAAGTGTGTGAGCAGCCGGCACGTTTTACATGACAATTAATTTATAAGGTCGTCCCTTTTTATTCCACTCGTGTGGAAGCGCCACCCGGCAAGATTGTGCTCTTCCGTGTTACGAAATTCATTCGTACGATCTTTCCTGGCTGCCCACTCGGCGTTAAATTTTGTTATCTCGTTACCTTAATTTCAGACAAGGCGTCTTCATAAGACAGTGAGATATAAAAAATAACATTGTCGATATCTTCGTGATATGAAAAAAAAATTCGTCTATCAAAAGTTAAATAAATAATTTCGCAGAACAGCTGAGAGATATTAATAAACTTTTTTTGTCTCGCCTTTATCTGTCTTCACATATGTGAGGGTGTGTTAAAGATTAGATATTATAAAAGGTTTCTTCCACTTGTAATTCTTTAAATATTTCCTATGTTGAGTCGTATGCTTATCTTGGAGGACGCTGTAGGAAAATTACCGTGGGCACAGCTCGACGGAAAGTTTTTATTGAATTATACGCGCCTCATTAACTTATAGTCATGTATAATTTATGATAGGCAATGAAACATTTCTCGATAGGATATTGATGTACATCAGCTTTCAGTATATTAAATCATGAAATTCAGTAACGTTGAATAATTGGACTTACCAGACTGCACTCATATTTTTATCACATCGAAATTAACTGTACAAAAACTACTGTATCATGTCAAGTGTAATATGAAAATCCGAGTATAACTTTTAATAAATTTCTTGCTGCGTTAATGCAACAAAAAATTTACATTATTGTATGATGTAAATTTAATAATTAATAATATATTTATATATACTTGCTTCTCTCTCTCTCTCTCTCTCTCTCTCTCTCTCTCTCTCTTTCTCTCTCTCTCTCATACAATATATTTATTTTAGAAATATAATCTAAAAAATTGTAAAATTTTTCTATCATATATTATCTCACGTCGTGATAGTCATGAAAATCTATTTGAAATTAATTGAAGAGCGATACTCTGTACTCCACCAAACACTTCGACGATAAGATTAATTGATTCGCCACGTTGTCCGGCCTATCAATTGTGTCAAATGGCCAGCTCTGGGAGAAAAATAAAAGAATTATCGCGATGACTTGTGCAAAATACGAGCATGATAGTGTCAACAAGTACAGAGAATTGGAGGACAAATAATTTATATAATAACCGATCGCGAGTTCTAATGTCTACTTCGTGTCTACAATCGTGTATATCGCGCGAACGCGTTTCCTCCGTATTCTTATTTGTTACTTCAATGCGTTGTTAGTGACGTCCTTTCTTTTTTTTCTGACGCGGGATTAAATATGATACACGCTATGGTTTAATTAAGGCGCCAATCAGCCGAAAGACTTACGTATAAAGCAACTCGCGTGTTCAATTGGCCGTTTTGCTCTCGCACAACAGAGTTGATACACTTAATCATTTTTACCACTCGAAGGGCGCCGTGGCGGCGTCTTTGAAAGTTCCTTTTTGTCATCCTTCGTGTAATGATATTATTGTGATGCGATCAACAGCAGGATATTGGACGGATATTCATTATTAAATCTGTTAATGAATTGAAATAGACAGATAACAGGAAATCTTATCGAGCGTAATGTTTATTATAAAAATGTATTAATTCCAGTTCGGTACTCATGTGTTAAATTAAGCGAAAAATTAAAATCCGACATAGTTGTTACGTCTTGAATTATTGTGTATATAAGCATAAAATTATTTGCTTAAAATATTGTACATTTTTTCTGCTTTTTGCATTATATTTAGAATCAATACAGTGTTTCCTCTCTCATATCTTAAATTATCTATTTGAAAAATAATGATCGCGACAAGTTTCTCAAATTTATCTTTTGTACATTGAAAACCATAAAACCGTAATGTCTACATTGAGAAAAAAATCTAAAAAATAAAAAAATATTTATTCGATGAGTGTCAATAATCTACTTAAATTTAATAAGTTCTTTTATTTAAATAGAATAAACAATTGCTTTTCCATGAAAAGCTGAGAAAATATAAAAAGTTATTAAGAGATTTTAAGAAAATATATTTTTTAAATCTTTTGCTTCACACACGGTGTAAAAACATGTATGTTAGTGTCAGCAAATGTTACGAGTACTCACCGAATAAATCTTTTTCTTTCTTAAATATTTTCTCTCTCTTTTTAGCGTATACACTGGATAATTTATAGATATTTAAGTAAAGAAATATCAGAGAAATTACTGCCTTTCACAGATCACAAGATATTAAATTAAGCGGCAAAAGAGGTGTGCTATCGACGGATTGATTATGAAATAATACCTAAATAATAAGAAAGAGGTTCTCTTCGATGTATCTCAATTAAATTGTGATTAAGTTCCCGGTGACCAAAGAGTCGGTGTCGTCGACGAAGTATGTATTAAGTACGTGAGGTATACACATCGGCGATAGTTCAGATTGACGTTTCGTATACTCGTCGGCCGATTATTGGTACTTCATTCATCTTGTCGCGCGCTGCTAGCCATTTGGATAAAAGACTTTTGCAGTCGTGACGCCCAATAACACGCGTGTCATTACGAAACACGCGCGTCAGAGCGAACGGGAATAGAGCCGAGAGGGTGAGAATAAGAATTACGATTCGCATCGAGACGCGCGCGTCATGCACGTGTATTTCGGTGCGTCGCGACGCGTTCACCTTACTCGAAAGATGCGCCTCGACTATCATCTCGCGATATGTTGCAGATGGAGCTGAACAGCAACCCTATCGCGACTTCGCCGAAGAATTCCGTTCACGGTGATGAGACCACTTTCAAGCAACCGCTCGGGTGAGTTTATCTCTCTTGGCATGATAGATAATTTGTTGATTGTTATATATCAGACAACTCGATACGTATATGCAGGTCTGACAATTAATAGCACATCCGTAGTGTATAGGTAGAACTCGTTAAATTAAACGCAGAATTCCTCTGTTATTTCCAAGACAACCACGTGAAACTTTGAGTTATTAATTCAAGAAGATTGATATCACGCGCGATACATTGGATGATGCTGTCGTGTGTGCTCATACATTACGTTAAACTAAACAAAAAAATTCTCTTCCATTTTGTAAATGACTACGTAAATTTTATATTATTAATTAAGGAAGATCGAAGTATTAATCATGCACTAATCTTCTTTAATTAATAAGTAAAAATCTATATGGTTATTTTCAAAATGGAGTAGAGAACTTTTTTGTTCAGCGCTTCACAGCTTATTTATCGTATCGTGCGTAATCACTCTATCAATTTTTAATTAATTTAAATAATAATTCAAAATGTTACATGGTTATTTGCGAAATGGTAGAGGAATTTTGTATTCAGTTTGATGAGTTCTATCTGTATATCACGGCTGCATAATAAATTGTCAGACACTATATATATAATAATAATCATATAATATAATGAGATTCCAGCATATATATATATATAATATATGTGTCAGCTTCTTATAATAGATTGCTTTGATTTTATTGGACGTCAGTTGTTCGTTAACTCTTGGGCCTTATCTAATCGCGAATTTCAAGTCGCAATACGACACTTGCATTATCTCTCTTTCTTATTCCAAATGATTTAATTACGCTGATCAGCAAAATCATACTGCAGACCACAGTCATTTTGAGATTATGAGTTGCTCGATTGATAAATTAATTGATGTAGTGCGTAATAAGGGGCTGTTGAGTACGGATTAGTCTAAGTGTGTCCGAGTGCGTCGCAATACACTCTTAATCCCGCCACAATACACTCTTAATCCCGTTTAAGTGCGCCATTGCGATTTAATTATCTCTTTGTCGTGGAGTTTCGTGTGGAGGGGGATTTGTGTTGTTTAACTTAATAATTCATTGAGTTATCTGATTATGCGAATGATTGTACGAGCTACGTTACGCGATAAGCGAGCCCAATAACATGTTCTAGTGTTTGGCATCAAACGGTTCTGATTGTCCATTATTGTTTATCAACTACTGTACTTTTCGTTGCTCCTTTCAGCCACTGGCGCTTGTTTCCAAGTGTATTATTCTTGAGAAATGGCGTGTCGCGTTAGCATAAAATGCCCAGGCCGGAAACGATCGATACATGTCGCCGCGAATCTTCGCCTTGAATTTACGAGCATCGCTATTTTAAACGGCAGATCGTTGCCAAGAACGACGCGTGTCGTTCTTTCTATCGATAGTCCATACGATCGTGAGGTCTACTTGACCGCAGCCAAGGGAAAAGTATCTCTCCCATGGATCTGCTCGTTCACACACAGTCGCGCTTAATAGTAGTTAACGCTAATCGTGGAAATTCGATTATCTCGCGTAACGATCTCCAAGAATGCACGTGCATATCCGGCAATTACTGTCATTTTGCGTGAGATTATGGTCGTGGAAAGTCGCGCAGGATATCATCAGGGTCATCGTCGTTTCAGCAACGGTGCTTTGATTTCGATGTACAGCTCGGATGATAGTTAGGAGATAATATCGCATCAAGTATCTTTTATCAATATGAGTACAATCGTCGAATCGATTTTGCAGAAATGGCGGAACGTACGGGGCATTTCAGTCGAAGGATCCTATCTTGGCGATGGAGAAGGGCGACGATGTCAAAAGAGGAGGCACTAACGAGCACGGCATTACCGTACACCATCCCACCTCGTAAGTTAAATCAGTGTCCCCTAAAACAGCAAAATTCCCGTCGGCGACTAAATCACTCGCCGGCAGAGCGCATGAGACATTAGCGAGCACGGCGTTTGCGGACGACGAAGCGGCGTACTTAGCGTATGCGCCGTTTTGCGACAAGAGCATGATATATAATATAGTATATAGTTTAAATATAAGTTAAGTAAAAAAGTGAAGCAAGCAAGGGAGAAATAGAGAAAAGAAAAACAAATGGTCAAGCGTAGGCAATTTGAACGATCGGAAATGCGCGACTAGCATAACCAACTGTGTATCGCGAGGCGTACAATTTAAAGAAGCGGAAGTATGTAGTTGACTCGCTACGATATCCCGATAAAACTTTTAAATCACGTATTTCCGCGCGAACCGTAACAATTTTTTTCCGGGAAGGAGCGCGTTTCGTCATTTTGCGGTCGCGCGTTCGTAAATAATCTAACGAGGCGTACGTATTTCAGAGCCGCTGCTAATCATTTGTGTGTGCGTCTTTTTTTCATCTTTCTTTCTTTTTGCCATTGTAATTTCGTAATGTAATGTCTGGAATCCCAATTCGTACCTGACAATTCTCACGCGCGCGCGTGCGTGGCCAACGCTGACGCAGCTCGCTATTTTTTATTCCGTGACACGGAATTTCGCGCGATGAGAATAGAACGAATGCACTAATGGACGATTGGACAACTGCAGGTACCTGGAAACCATGATGCATCTGTTCAAGGGTAACGTCGGCTCGGGGATCTTCGCGTTAGGAGACGCTTTTAAGAACGCGGGATTGCTGTTGGCACCGCCGCTCACGATCCTCCTCGGTATCATCTGCGTGCACGCCCAACATATCCTCGTACGTAATAGAATATAATTTATAACTAAAGGAAAACACATGCGCGCACACTGACAAGGGAAGTTCCCAAAGTATTTTATCGATTCCGAGTGTTTAGTGTTACCTTGAAATATTTGCAATATTTCAGAATAACTAAACTCGAATCGAGTAAACTTTTATTAAAAGTTAATGTACTAATATCGTAGGATTGAAATATATGCTATACAATTTTTCTTTAAAAAGCCTATATACGAATATTTGTATATAGACGAATCGCGCCTATATACGAATCGAGTATCGTAATATTATTTAAAATGAAAATTATAAAATTCTGCCATTGCTGTCATTTTCTTTTTAATGCAAAGATAGGGGATGTAAATGGAAATTTGTATTATTTAGACAGCCTAGAACAATTCTATACTAATCTAAACTCAGAATCGATGAAACACTTCGGGACATTACTTTGTGAGAGAAAAATACTTGGAAATTTACCGGGATGAGATATAAAGTTTATTCCTACATGAAGAGAATATTATAGTTTTTATTTTTTTTTTCATGTAAATCTTGTTCAATTTTTACTATATTTTTAGTAGACTTCCAGAAATAAACTGTCAGCAAGGTCTGTCTTGCTAAGAAACATAGTAAATTTCGCTAGAAACAAGTAGAAACAAGTTTCGCTAGTAGCAAATATTTTGCTAGCACATTTCAATTCTTGAAATATGAACAGCACATGTAAAATGAAAAGACAGCGAATCACTGCAGAATGTCGATCGGTTCAAAATTCTACACTACAAAATTCTACACTAATTTTTACTGTAACATTCTCTCCGTGTACGAAATAAAATTTGTTTGTATGAAATGAGGTTTATCTTCGCGAATAAACTTCATATTTCACAAATAAACTTTCAAGTATTTTTCTCCCGGTACAGAGTGTCCTTGCAATCTTTAACTTCGTTTGTCTTGTGAGAAAAGAACAAAAAGTACAATAAGAGAAAACGCGAATTCTAATTCGCGAAACGCACTCAATCATTAAAATGGAATGAGAAACACGAGGTCGCCTTCTTTGTGTCTCGTGGGCTCTTTGTCACGCCCGTTCTATCGTGTTTTGCTATATTATCTGGCACTCTTTGTTCGCCATTATCACGGCGTCTCGCATTTCTTTCCTCAACGTCCTTATTGTCCGGATGTTAAGTCAGCTGTTAATCGTGTCGCGATTAACTCTTCGTCAGATCCGCCGCGTTGATCGCGATTGCCTCGAGCAGCGACCCACGCAGGGTAGAATTTCGCGAGAATTTATAATCGGCTATTTATCACCGCCGACTGAGTTGGCACACGCGAAGTAGAATTCCAAAACTCCTGAGACGCCAGCCAAGTTTAAGCATTCCCGATGTGCGCAAGGGGTTAACGCATACGATATTCGCTCTTCCAGATCAAATGCAACGAAGAGGTGACACGTCGTGTCGGCGACGGCGACGGCGCGAGCGGATTCGCCGGCACCGTGGAGATGTGCTTCGCCACTGGACCCCTCGGCCTCCGTAGATATTCATCTCTAATGAGGTGTGTAATGAGCAAAAGAGCAAGGAAAGCAAAACTGAAAAGCAAAATAACAAAGGAGCGCGACTTACATACAAATGTTACGCTCGTTTCAGTTATTTGCTCACCGTTGTACCGGGTGTAAACTGAAACAAACGGCGACATTTCAGAAACGACTCATGTGTTCGACTCATCTCGCGGATAAAGAAGAAAACTGTTGATCTTTAAGAGATGTGAATGGAATACGCTTAAGATTAAGATTGACCGCTTGTTTCATGTACAGTGAGTTGCACGACGGTTTGAACATAATGAAGTTGGAAGCTCAACAAACTATTAAGTCATTATCGTGACGAGCTTGTCCAGTAATTATATAGTTAATTATTATTAATGTTATTATTATTCATATTGTTCTTAATTATGTTACTAATTATATCATTATTACGTAATCGATAATGACTACCAATTTTGAAACAGTTTGAAAAATTCCCAACTTTATCGTGTCTAAACTATTTTGCGACTCGCAAACTGTACACCCGATGTAAATACTTCTTAAGCCACTCATCCTCTCCTTTTAGTTTTTGCCATGTGTTTGAATTATTTTACTCATGATTTTTTGCACATTAGCGCGTCGCCATTTATGTTGCCGTTTCTTATGATTTTGTTGCAGAAAATTGGTTAATGTGTTTTTATGCGTCACGCAACTCGGATTCTGCTGCGTGTATTTCGTTTTCATTTCCACAAATATGAAACAGGTGAGGTGATCTCCATCTAGCTCTTCCTACAGCGTCTTCTTTCTTCCGCGGTCTGCGACGTTTTGGCATCTGTCATTTTATTCTTCATTTATCTTTAACTACAAGTGCTAATCGTTTGCATGATCTTTCTTTCGGCTGTAAGAAATACAAGAGAATCATTAAAAATCGCTTGCACAAATAACGCCCGTATTTAATAAACATAACAGTAATAATAATGATAACTTTATTAGACGTGACAGAAGGCGTAACGCACATAGAATGTAATTGACAGTAACAAAAGCGAGATTTGGTCAAAAGGCGAGACAGCATTGCAGCTGCGATTCGTCTAGTCTGATTTATTTCACGTGTGATCGATAATTGCTCCTCAATGGAAGCAATATGTGAACGCTTAGTCACGTATACACTTAGGAATTAATTGAAAGACAAGAAATTTTCAAGGAACAATCCCTTTCCATATAGCACAAATCTCTAAAAGACTTCTTAAAGAATTCTAAAAGTGTTCTGGAAGACTTGGGAACTCTTTTGGAACTCTTTAAGAAGTCTTTTAGAGATTTGTACTATATGGGTTCTTAATATTGGTCATGAAGAATGTTTCTGATTCTCCACGGTAGGTGTTAGACGTGCATGGAATCGAGATGGACGTTCACCAGCACATGGCGGTGGTTCTGATTCCCATACTGCTTAGCACCTGGATCAGAAATCTCAAGTATCTAGTGCCACTGTCCTCGGTGGCGAATTTCCTCGTGATGGCGGGTTATATCGCCACCATGTACATCATGAGTCACGACGTGCCGTCCATAAGTGAGAGAAGATACGTCGCGGACTGGCATGAGATACCTCTGTTCTTCGGTACTGTGATATATTCCTTCGAAGGTATTACTCTAGTGAGTACAGAGGGATAGATTGTTCTATCTCAAAATTAATATATTAATATCTGAGAAGTCGGAGAATATCTGAGAATAATATTTGAGAACGACAAGTACCCTGAATAATAAATGTAATTGTGTAAATTAATGATTAGAGTCGGATCTTTCAATTCGGATTGAGTACTCTTTCGCCACACTTTACTAATAGACATTTATGCATAGGTACTGCCACTGAAGAATGAGATGAAGAATCCCAACAATTTTAGCAAGCCACTGGGTGTTCTGAATGTTGGTATGGTGATAGTCGGCTCTATGTTCGTCGCAATAGGTTTCCTGTCGTATTTGAAATACGGCAACGAGGTCGCCGGTTCCGTTACGCTCAATCTCGATTCAGCGAAGATGTAAGTAAATGCAACTGAATTCACGTAATTGCAATTCGTACAGTGAGAAAAGAATTTACTAAATTAAGAAAAAAAAACGTTTGTTTGGATACAACTGTGAACATATTTGTTTAAATTAAGCAATTATTTTTTAAAATTAAATAAGGAAGTTTTAAATATAAATTTCATTCTTTGATTTTAGAAAATAATTACTTAATTTAAACAAATATGTTCACAGTTGTACCCAAACAAACGTTTTTTGAAATTTAGTAAATTGTTTTTCCAGTGTAAGGAAAGAGTTCACACGCGTAGACGTAAAGTTCACCGCGTTACATTTGTCTATAGACGAATATTGTTATATCGATTTGACGAGCAATTATCTTAGAACTAATGCACAATGTCAATGGAGTTCGCGCAATACCAAGATAGCAGAATGATGTCTAAAGACGTCTTAATGACGTTAGAAACGTTATTAATACATCATTTGACGTTACTCTGCTACCTAGATATTAAAATTAAACAATGATATGTGATTAGCACGATTACACCAAACGGCGAAGAAACCGTTGTAATATACTTTTCTCTTCTATTCCAAGGGTGGACGGCAAAGTCATCCACGGTTACTCAAGGTTTATACCTGAATATTTTCTTAAACTTGCTGTGACTGATAAATATTAGTTAGAATAGAGAGCTTAAATGTTGGATCGAGTCGTAAATAACTTCCAACGTCGATAGCAATTTTTTTTGCTAACTTAAAAGAATAAAAAACAAAGAAAGAAGGAAAAGGAAGTTATTGTATTTACGACTCGTTGCAATACGATATTATACGGTAAACCACAGAAATGTAGAGGTAACGTCCTTGCTTAAAATGATGGATACAAATCTATTGGATTACATTACGTTCAGAGTCTGTATTTTAATATACATTATTGTAAATTGCAATGTTATCGTTTTGTATGCATCATTTTACACAGAGGTGTATATATTTTGCGCATGTTTTCACCCATCCGCGCATGTTTTCCTTTTCTTTTTTTTTTTTTCTTTATTAATTATAAAGTGTGGGAGAACTTTTATAACTGTTTTTAACTTTTTTTTCCATCTACCTATCTATGAGTTCACCCATAACTTTCTGTAGTCGTACCACGACGAAAAGCTTCTTCGCTAACGAACCGGATTTTCTTACAGTCTGCCGCAATGCATCAAGACCGCCATCTCATTGAGCATATTGCTCACGTACGCGCTGCAATTTTACGTCCCGATCGCGATAATGTGGCCCGGCATCGTCAGCCAGTTCGGTCCCTTCAAGTGGCCGGTGCTCGCGGAGATTATTTTCCGTTCCGCCATGTGCCTTATCACGTGTAAGTACGAAAGAGCTCATTACTATTATCGTCATTAACGTCTCTTGCACGAATACATACGCGACAAGTCTACATTTCAGTTTAACGATTTATGAACTTTTCAGTCATTCTGGCGGAGGCGATACCGGAACTGGGTCTCTTCATATCCCTGGTTGGCGCAGTCAGCAGCACCGCACTCGCCCTCGTGTTCCCGCCGATCATCGAGATAGTCGTCTACTGGCAAAACGCCAACCTCGGTTTCTTCACGATCGCGAAGGACATGACGATAGTGCTGATCGGCGTGTTAGGCTTCGCTACGGGAACGTATGAGAGCGTGACGTCGATCATCAAGGCGTTTAGCAAGTGAGCGCGCGCGCGCGTGTGTGTGTGTGTGATGACTGGGCGATTTATATTAATTGTATTCGAGTGGATAAGCTTGAGACACAACGCGATCAAGGATCGCGCAAGAGGGCAAAAGTTAAAGACCGCAACATTCGCTAATTAATAATAATTTTGTCGTCAAGAAATCAGCAGTATCTACGACATCTCATATTTGTGAAGGAGCACCAAAGACAGATTAGCTGAGCCATTACTGAGACTGGCTAGCGCAATCTTCCTTCAATTGGTATAAGCCGATGATAAAAAAATTTAATCAATATGTAAACAGATTTATAAATTGATAAAGATTTATAATTGATAAATGATAAAGTAAACTCCAATTTCTAACAGAGAAGGGAAAATGGCACAAAAAGATTAAATGGAAATTATTATTCTCTTCTTGACAGAGTGATTGTTAGGTCGTTTATCAGCAATTGTGTCTTGAATATTTGTCTTTTTGAAAAGTATTCAGTCATATGTATTCCGACCGCATATTCAGCGCTAAAAATGCAGCCGTCCGCTTTGCGACAGAATATCCTGCACGCGACACAAATAAATCTTAGAATCATCGGGCCATATTTAACGGTAAATATGACGTCCGGGATACGGCCCGATTTCACTTGTTAAGGCGCGCGGTTTTAATGAACCATGACATCTACGATATCTCCGCGTGAATCGAGAAAAAAGGAAACAACTCCTGGAGACAACAAAGGAGAAAACTCCTGTCACTTCGCACTTCCAGATCGTATGCGATTGTAGTAGGTGTTGGCAATCCCTAAGGCACGATTAAAATGTTAGCCGCTCTATGATGATAATTTATGTGTGATACCAATAGTCGTAGCGATAAGACGTAACGCAGGTTGTGGAGGTCAGTGTGATCGTTATCGATATCGAGTTGATATTATTAATAAGTCTTTCGGACAGCGCAGATATGTCCGCGCGCTCGGAACAGATTGCGCAGGCCGTCTTTGTGTTGTTCGAGCGCATCGTGTTTTATTTATGCGTTTAATAAGTCTCGTTGCGTAGGCGGGGGAGAGAACCAACTTTCAGAGAGGAGCTTTCAGAGAGAAGCTTTCAACTTCTACGCGTATACAATACTTCGAAGTACAATATGTAGTTTGCACGAAGCAAGGAAAAGGAGAAAAGGACAGGACAAAAATAAAAAGAGAAACGCATCGATCCTTTCTGTAATTCTGCAATTACGCAGCTTTCTCGTAGTGGCAAAGCGATTAGAACGCGTAGCTTCGTTGTAGTACTTGTAATTCTTACATTAGAGCGTTTTCACTTAGCGAATTGTCTTTTTATTCTAATTTCTCCGAGGTAGAATGCGAACTGTTAAGCGGCGAGATTAGCCTAATGTATCCGACAATTAATTCGAATGAACGACGATTACACTACTTGCGAATTAACGAGTGCAACTCACGACGTGAGGCATATTCGAGTTCTAAACGCTATTAAATTCCCACCGAGAATGAAAATTGTACTGATAATTGTGTGTCGTCCTATAAAGAGAATTGCATATTCTGGACGTATTAATAAACAAAGCACCTGTAACTCTTTTTATTCGTGATACAAGTTGAAGAAGTTTTCATTGACGAAGATATGTTTCGTCTATGCGGTTTTGTTTTTATTCTCGACCGATCGCTGTAATCAAACGAAATTTTCGATACTTGAATTCGATATTCAAGTATCGCTCTGGTGCTTGTGTATTTGATTCACGTTGAAACAACTGAACATCCCATTAGCTGGATTTTGCTTGGAGGATAATGTAAATTCAATTGTTCCGCATACGATCGTCGTAAACTGCAATGCTGTCGTTGAAGAGACACACTTCTCCTAGTCGTGTAATGTATTTGAACAATTTTCACGTTGATATTTTATCAATATATGATTAATATATTATAATATATGTATGGTAATATATATAGGGTGTCCCAGACTATCTTCTGCAATTTCTGTTGGAACATAGAACGTAGAACATGGAACGTAGAACGGATTGAGGTGAACATATAAGTCGTAGACCGTTTTGCGATATTCACAATGATAGTCGAGATATTAATTAAAGAAGATTGGTGAATTATCACGCGCAATTTGGTAGATAAGTTGTAGTGTGCTGTTGTATACTTGTACACATTTGGTCAAATTGAACAAAAAAGCCATTTATCATTTTGCAAATAATCACGTAGATTTTCAGTTATTAATGGAAGAAAATTGTTACATGATCGAGCACAATAATACACAAATCTTTATTAATTAATATCTAAAATATTAATTAATAAATAATTAATGTTTAAATATTAATTAATAAATAATTAATGTTTAAATATTAATAAATAAATAATTAATGTTTAAATATTAATTAATAAATAATTAATATTTTGTCATTTGCAAAATGGTAAAGGACTTTTTCTTTGTTCAGTTTGACTTAATGTATAAGTATACGGTACTTGTCGGATAGATGTTATCATTAAAGCTCATCTACTATATCAAGCATCATCATTTACAAATATTCTTTAATATCTCGATAGTTATTGCGAATATCGCAAAACGATATAGGATTCCTTTGTTTATCTCAATCCACTCTATATTCTCACGAGAGATTACGAAATCGAACCGGGACTCTTTGTATATGTATGTATGTATGTATGTATGTATGTATGTATGTATGTATCTCTATATATATATATATATATATATATGTATATCTATATATATATATATATATATATATATATATATATATATATATATATATATATATATATATATA